TGTATCTCTCTTTCTCCCTCTGATCAATGTTTATATACAATGTTACTTTGTATCTCTATCTCCCTCTGATCAATGTTTATAAGCAATGTTACTTTGTATCTCTATATATCCCTCTGATCAATTTTTATAAATAATGCATTTTCTACATTAATATTGCCTAAAACCCCAAAACATAATGGTGTGTAATTCAGAAAGACAAAATCTGGAGCAGCTGTGCATGGCAGCCAATCATTTCCTCCGTTTTATTATTAAAGCTTAATTGAACAAGCTGAAGAGAGAAGCTGATTGGTTGCCATGGGTGACGGCTCCAGATTCTGTCTGCTCCAGTTTTTATGAATTCCCCCCTTATATAGTTTCTAAAAACAGAGAACCTGTAGAATGAAATGGTGGTAATTGCTTTTTTGACACTGATACTTCCCCCTATGTGATAGCATATTGCAGGTGACCGGTCCTCCTATACCCCCGATGTCACCCCTATAGCTGATCTGATTGAGCTCAGAGAACAGATGTTTATTAATCTCCAGCAGCTCTCCATCTTCACACCCACAATGGATGTCCCAAGCAGCAAGGAGGGACAGGAAGACCTACGTACTGTCTGTGTCCACGCTGGGGAGAGTCGTCCTCTTGAAATTGATGGGAAATCCAAAATGGCAGAATTGCCAGAAGACGATTAAAGAGTCTTTCAATGGGGGACACCTGCCCTGGTGACAATTTCTAAGGGGAGGGGATTCCATCCAAAACTAAAGCTTCATGGATATACATACAGTACATTGTAAGCAGTGGACCAGCTATGTCAGTGGTGGGGAATCTCCGGTCATCCAGCTGTGCTGGAACTACATATCCCATGAGGCCTTGCAAGAATCTCACAGCCACAGGCATGACTCCTAGAGACAGGTGCATCATGGGATTTGCAGTTCCACCACAGCTGGAGGGTCAGAGCTTTTCCACCCATGAGCTACAGTATGTGAAGCTACACTACGGTGTCACAATCTATACAAATCTGCTGGAGGAATCATGTCTCACCTTGGTTTGGAATGGTGGCCAGAATACGCAGGTCGTCACATCTTCAGGTATTCTGTGTTGCTGTACGCTGTCCATGATTATAAAGCTCATGAGCTCCTCTGGGGACCCGCCAGGTGTATGGGGGACATTGATGACAGATCTGTTCATCATAATTAACATGTGGATCCCGTGAGAGTCACATGGAGCAGCTGGCGAGATACAACATTCATCAGGATCTCCCTTTCTATATCCACCTGCCACGGAGAATTATAATTCCTCTCTCCTTATAATTACAGTTGTATTAGTTATGGTGGAATGTCCGAATCGGTGCATCCCTACTAGAAAGTGTTACCAGTGGCCAGAAAGAAAATAAAACTCTCATCTCTCTGCAGCCATTGGAAGAAACTCAGGTAAAGTTCAACTTTTCCAAGGAGGAGGATATGACCGCAGATTATATCACAGAAAATATCCTCTTACAACATGAGGAGGGTGCCTCATGGGGGGGGGTGCCCTCAACACCGTTCTTATTTGGCCAGGACTGCTGTAAGGTGTGCGGAGAGGACCCCCACCACCTGAAAACCTTTTCAGAATAAGACATCTACCATATATCTGGCCCTCCCCCATGTAAATGAGTAACAAAAAAAAATAGAATACATAAACATGCAGACATGGATTTTGAATGGGACAACAGGTGATAAATGGTACCCTGAATTACACCCCCCCCAAAAAAAAACAAAAAACAAATCCTTGCTGAACCCTTGTTACAACAGTACCCTCTAGAGGGGGCATGGGCTCACTAAAGGCGCAGAGTTTACGAACCAAATGGTTTTCCCCAGAGCTCCTGAAGGTGGAGATGTATTAGTGTGCCATGCTGGTACTAGGTCGTGGCCCTCATGATAGCACTACCAAGGGGTGAGCAGGGAACAAAGATGTGTAGACAGTACAACAGGGAAGGAGTGGAGAATGATTGGGTCAAGCTGTGGTCAGCAACGCACAAGATAGTAGATGAGCAGGTACAGATGTATAGGTGGGTCCAGGCAGAGGTCACCAATGGTCAAAGCAAAAAAGTAGGCAAATGCAGCCTGATAGTCGGGTGCAGGAAGAGTTTGGCAACAACATAGTTAGATGCAGGCGGATGGTTGTAGGCAAGCGGCAAGCTAAAGAGCGGTTGAGTTGGTCTAGGTGAGCAGCAGAACAGGTAATCCAAATGTATAAACGTCTCTTACAACTGTAGCGCTCACCACCACCCCGAAGGAGCCGCAGAATGCCCAGTTCATCTCTAGTCTGTCTAGGATATGATTCTCAGCTGCCCACCCATTAGCATTAACCTCCCTTCTTCTAGTGCCCACAAAAGCTGATGTCCACTCCAGTAGTATAATGCAGAATAACTTTTATTGAAGATCTTCACTGGGGAGAGAGAGGGGATGGGGGGTTCTAAGCTTCCAGAGTGTAACTGACAGACTCCAGACAGCGGATAGCAACTGAGCTAGCTGATAAACAGGATGAATATAGATCCTCAAAAGGAGAGGACCAGAATACGAGCAGCAGGGTATCAATGCAAAAGGCATAACAAGGAAGAAATGAAAAGATATCCAGCAGGACCCGACAGGTGCGACATACGATTGCTATACGAGGCTAGACAAGAGTTCAGCTTCAACAAGGACCTGAGGAAGCCCCACAGGTTCTAAATCCTATTTGTGTGTCTCCATTTGGACTGATAACCCGTCACTTCCTGTTCGGTCTTACAATCGTCATCAGTACAGGAAGTAGAGGTCAAACCCTATCTATTTTATTTCCACTGTATTGAATTTTGTGCGGCGTTCGCCTTGCTGACATTATTTGGTCAAGTTCCTGCACACAGATAAAACTCAAGACGAAAATGATTTTATATATAAAATATTTTATTTCGGATAAGTCGGCTTGTAGGTGGAAACTTCTTTATATAAAATGTTCGCACTCTGTCCTCTGCAATTGTCCTTCCGTCACAATATTTGTTAACTGTTTTTGGTACCAGTTTCATTGCAATCACCAAAA